TGAAACGACTCCCAAAATAGAGCTTACTCAATCACCTTTTCGAAAATTTTACGAAAATATCTGGAATATCTGTTGAGACGATTTTTCCATGACACAATGGTATTTCACTCGGTATTTTAAGTTCCTTTAGATTACCTCATGATGCAAGTTTATACGTCAATAGTGATGTTGGTAGCGAATATTTCCATTCGAATTTTGCAGGAAATTTCAGAAATTTCCGAAATATTCGGTTCCAAAATCGCGAATATTCGCAAAAATCCGAATTTTGCAAAAAAAATCTTTTCAAAATTCAAGACATTGAGCAAAAATTTAACGAAAGTAGGTATATCAAGTATGCATGTTCTTAAATCAGAAGAAAAAGAATGCTTCTCCGCCTTACAAAATAGAAAACGTATGGCTCTTAAATCAATGCATTTTTCCGCGAATCTCTTGGACCCCTCTGTTTCCTGGGAGAGCACCTTAACAATGACGAAAGCATAGCCGCAAATTTTTGGATTTATCAACAACATCACCAACAATCATCCTCAGTTTGTCAATAATAAAGAAGCCATTTTAACAGATGTAATAAATTATTGCCTCAAATTGGGTTTATGGGCTTTCGACTACGCTTGGATGTCAGTTGAAAATATAGACTGTCTAAGTTGGTGGCAAGCAATGTGTAAAAATACTCAGTTGACATATTTAGCTGTTGCTCTGTTGTCTTTACCAACGTCATCTTCAGCCATTGAGAGAAGTTTCAGTACTTACAGTTTTATCCATACTAAAAAAAGGAATCGCTTAACTGTACAAAGACAAGGCAAAATAATGTTCGTAGCTCATAACAATAAATTATTATTACAAAAACAAAAAGTGGATATGGAGCATGATATTCAACAAGATGAAACTCCTCCAGAACCACTAGAACTCGTAGAGGTAGATGTCCATCCTTCAGAATCAGAACGAGATGATACATCAAATGTATCTGATTTGGAAATAGAAACTGACGAAGACAGTACTACTACTACTATAATACCCTATGAAGATGGGACCAGTTCGGCGCCTGAAGGTATTCCGGAATAGAATAATTCAGTTATTGGTGTTTTACGTTTTTTAAATTTATATTTCGTGCTTTTTTGTTTTTTTTAAGTTCATAAAATTGTAAAATTTCCGAAAATTTAGGAAATTTCCTGCAACAATAAAAAAATTCTGAAATATTAACATCACTATACGTCAATTTAGTGTTTCCCATTCGCTTAAAATGAACACAACACACAATATACACGGGTCAGCATGAAAAATCAAAAACGTTATGACACCTTAAATTTTTTATATTTTTTAAAGTCGAAGAACTTTTGTTCTAGTTAACCGATTTTTTTGACTTTTTAGCCTCTATAACTTTTACTTTTCAGAGAAAAAAAAATACTATAAACTATGTCCAGTTGACTTTAAAACACTGTTTATACGTCTCCTCTCATTTCATAACCTCTAGTGCTGCCAAAAATGCTTTTCTTTTCAAAATCGTTACGGAATTCAATCTATTTTAAAATATATGGCGCCCCAAATAATACAGAGCGATCAACAATGACTGCAATAGTTGAATATTCTGATTTTGCGCGGCTTATTGGTTGGCAACACGTTGATGACGGCGCTCTGGTTGTGTGGGCAAAAACGTTACAACAATTACACGAGACATGTACAGGGTGGACCATTTTGGTTGTTTCTATAGGGTATCTAGGAAACCGTGAGAAAATTTCAAATTTTGATACTGCAGTCTCGGGTTCTTTTTTTGAAAAAATCACAATGCCGCAAACGGATCGTGGCTATCTTGATCGGTTTCGAAGCTACAAGAGGATTCTCAAATTTTGTACTTTTTGAAGATGTTCGATAGTTTGTTTATTTCAACAACTACGCAAAAATTAATTAAACATTCCAAAGGCACTTTTCTGCGTAGAATGCAGTGGCGTAGTCAGACTTTTTTCGAGAAAAATATTTTTTTAGATATTAACTATACTTATGTTTTTTTAAATACAACCCACTGTATATTTTTAAATTTCCTGATTCAGTTTGGCATGGGCTTCTCGAAAATATATAACACTATACATATATTTATTTTCACTATTAACTTTAAAATTCCAATTTATTTAAAGATATCGACTTTCCTCTTGGTAGGTCATGCCGAGTATTAAAGGAAACAAGAAACAAGTGAATATTTACTTTCAAATTAATCCATGTATTAGCAATTAAATAAATTCGAACAATACGAAGCAAATAAAAATAAGTGTGACTGAAACAAAAGAACATATTTTAATACAAACTCAACAGGTTACTTAAATTGGGCTTATAGAACAAAACTATCTTGTAACTTTTCTAATGTTCTATTTGAATTTCGATAAATTTCGTTTTTCAGAAAGCCCCAGAGAAAGAAATCCAAGGGAGTGATATCAGGTGACCTAGGTGGCTAGGATTAATCTACTTTCTGACATTTTAAAAATGGCCGAGTTTGGTTGCTCGCGCTCAAAATACCGCTCAAAATATAAATCAGCTGCCATTTGCTTATGTTTGTTAGACTCAATATAACATTCTAACATATTATATTTCTCAAAATTTTCAAATTTACTAATTTTTTTATTATTTAAAATACACACACTTCAATCTGTTGAAATGAAATGTCCCGCATCCATCAAAGGTATGTCCCGATCACCATGACAACCGTTTACTTTGTTACTCGGCGCGGCCTACTACTAACTGGATATTTCAAGAAAAATTTGAAATGTTGAGGTTAATAGTGAAAATAAATATAGAGTGTTATATATTTTCGAGAAGCCCATGCCAAGCCGAATCAGGAAATTTAAAAATATACTTACCGGGGGTTCTATTTAAAAAAAACAGAAATAGTTAATATCTAAAAAATATTTTTTCGAGGAAAGTCTGACTACGCCACTGCATTCTACACAGGAATGTGCCTTTGGAATGTAGAATTCATTTTTGCGTAGTTGGCTGAAATAAACAAACTATCGAACATCTTCAAATAGTACAAAATTTGAGAATCCTCATGCAGCTTCGAAACCGATCAAGACAGCCACGATCCGTTTGCGGCATTGTGATTTTTTCAAAAAAAGAACCGGAGACTGCAGTATCAAAATTTGAATATTTCTTACGGTTTCCTAGATACCCTATAGAAACAACCAAAATGGTCCACCCTGTACAAGCCTTAAGCTAATAACGACTCCGAAATTCAGCACAGAATTAGCAGCGCCTCAAGACGTAACCACCGTGATTACGCTCAAGAGCGTTCTGGAAATTAAAAGACAGGGTTTTTACATACTTGATTTGAGCACAAAAACGAATCTTGCAGTGTACCGAGCAGAGAATTGTAAACTCAGTTAAAAACGACAATCAAAAAGGAAAGAGGCAACAAAGTAATAAGATTTTTGAATGTCCGGAGTGCGGAAGAGAGAACATCACGTATCGGGCTTTTTAGTGACAGAGAAGATTATGAAAGAAAACGCCTTGCGTGACCATCTTCTGATGCGCGACACATACTCGTCAGTGAGTAATGAGAGTAAGCAAGTAATTACAATAGGCTTATTCTACTGATAATATTTTAGCAGAAATAATAAAATTATATTAGGTAGTGGCAATATATCATCTAAGATCATTTTTTTTACAAGAAATAGCAATTCTTTGGTTTAACTGAAAGATAAGAGATCAAATCATACATTTTTTTATAGATTTTGATAAGAGAAAACAATTGTTCACTTATTACCTGATAAGGACAATCATTACATATCGTCCAGTTGGCTTGGAAATGACGATCGATGACATTTCTCATATAATTTTACATATAAAATAACAGCGACCTTCATTTCATAGCCACCGCCGACGCCGTTTTTATTCGATCATACGGTACAAATACCATATACCTACTTTTATAAATTGAAAATGAATTTAGCAAAAACTAATGCACAACGAACTAGTAGACAGACAGAAAATACATTCTAATAAATAACATAACACTGGAAATAGTAGAAGAATATATATATTTGGAACAAGTGATGTATAGCTCGGGATCTCTACTACCAGAAATCATCAGAAGAATTAAGATAGTATGGAAGAAACTCAATCATATTCAAATCTAGAATATCACTTTATCTAAAGAAGAAAACAGTCAGCCAATGTGTACTACCTATGTATGCGAAACCTGGACAGTTAAAACGGACATTATAAGGAAACTGCAGGTCGTACAACGCTCAATGGAACGAAATACGCTGGGAATAACCAAGAGAGACAGTAAAAGAATAGTGTGGATACGACAAAAGACCCAGGTATAGATGTCATCCACAGAATCAAATCCCCCAAGTGGCAATGGGTAGGACACTTGGCAAGAAGAACGTACAAGAGATGGACCACAAAAATTACAACATGGTACCTACGAGGAATTAAGAAGAAGACCAAACCTGAGATTGGGTCAAACGGTCAAACCTTGGCAAATACTGTCAAAAATATATATAAATTTCAAGCCTTAATAACTATAAATGAATAAAACTACACTCTAACAACTTGGGAAGTCTTGAAAAGCATTAAAAAGGTAAACGAACTCGATTTAAACTACAGACCGATATCACACACGTAAAAAGCGTGGGGTTATCGGAGCAGGCCTGCAACTTTAGTAGGCCCCGGCACTTTTTTCGTTTTATCTCGTCCGGCGGCGTCGAAATCGTAGGCGCCAGTGCAAAACTTCCGACGAATCGATAAACGTGACGTCAAAGAGGCACATGCGGCCCGTATCGAGGGGCGAAAAGGCCGCAAGGAATTAAAATCTTGCGACCGGGGGACAAAATGGATGCCGGCTGCTAACTTGACTGAGGTTAGATCGAAGAAAACAAATGACTCTTCTGCTCTCTTCACCCCGATTGACGTGACAGGCAACATGGATGCCGGGTGGTTTGAAAAAAGGTTATAAAATGCATCTGTTGCACGGAAAAACGTTGAAAAAATAGGGAAAATGAATAAAGACTCACCTCTTCTCGCCTTTTTAGCCATCTTCCGCAAGGACTTTCCTCCAGGATCTCGCTTTCGTCCTCCGAATCGTCTCCGCTCTCCCGATTCAACCTGTGGTCGTCGTTGTTCATTAGTGATCCCGACATTATACTGGTGTCTTGATTAAACTAATCCTATCCCGTAAGAGCACTGGTATTGTCGAAAAAAACGTATCCGTCAGCTTGAATGAACGGTATTCCATTAGGGCATTACTTCCTCATTACCCTGATGTTCCTATATGCACAGAAGTGGGAAACAGTTCCTGTATTATAAATAGCACTGGTTGTTATAAATATTATTATCAAACACACTGTACGCAGAGTCAAGTAGACTATCGATGCATTTCAGGCCACTACCGCACACAAAAAATATCAACAATCAGTCTGTGTAGGAATAACAACTGAACTGTGTTGTTTCACGACGAAAGTTCGTAGGCAAACACGGCACAACTAAACACAAGTTTATAGTAAACGGACTGGAAGTGTATTAATGAACATCCAAAGCACGGAATAATGATTATACTGTCTGCTGGCAATCGACTCGAGGACCGGAGTTCGCAGCCTTGCTTTACCTGCCGCTGTCGTTGTCAGGCATCCGCGCAGATCGTATTTTGTATTTTGGATCCGTTTCGACATTTCGACCGCGGCGCCATCTGTCGGGAAAATGGCGAACTAAATGTCACGCCCTGTAAATTTTCGAAATGGAGTTTCGTTTACCGAAATACTAAAAACTGAAAAACAACATAGATTTTGATAATTATATTTATTGACTTGAACTTAAATTACTTTTCAAATTAGTATACAACTCTGTATCGAACGTTTTAATCAGTTTTTGCGAGTTTTAAATAATTTTTTCAATTTTTCTTTGTATGATGTAGAAAAAACGACGTCGCGCTGGCTTTTGACACGACCATATCGATGATATCTCCTGTCGATCAGCACTCCGAATGTCGTTTAACCCCTTTAATACAAATTACGCAAATACCGTATGATCGAAAAAAAAGGCGTCAGCGATGGTTATGAAATCACAGGTTACTGTGACGACTTTTTTTCCTCGTTCCTTATATTGAAATTAAAAGAAATAATCAAATTACGACAATCCAAAAATAAAAGTACGATGGGAAAAAAAGACGTTACAGTGGCTTGATTATTAGAACTGTTAGTTTAAAATAGATTATTGTTTCACAAATTTTAACGTCACTTCTTAATAAAATTAATAGAGATCGACCCGAAAGAAATGATAAATAATTTTATTTTCAAAGGTTACTATAACACCTTTTCTTCGATAATATGGTAAAAAATATGAAAAATTCAACAGAATTACTTATAAAATAATTTTATTTATATTACAATATTTACAAGTTACAAACACAATTGAAAATTATAAATAACTTTCAAATTTACATAAAAATATCACAAAATAATTCCTTATTCTGTGAAAATACCATAATAAAAAAAACGGCGTCCCGGTAGGCTTGGAACGACGATCGATGACTTTCACCATATAAGTTTAACAATCATTATTTCCAAACCAAACCTGACGCCGTTTTTTTCCTCAAATCGTAAGTTACAGTTAATAATTTTGTTCTTGATTTTGAGCAAAAGAATAGCTAAAGTAAGGGAATGGCAATTGATAGACTTAAATAAAAAATAATAAGTTAATAAGTATTCCTACCACTGAGCAAAAAGACTAAGGAGGGACTAAAAAGCCTATTTTTATATTCATATATTACAGAAGAAATCGGTATCAGAATTTGAGTTGATTTTTTTGGCATTTCTAAGCATACTTTACGTTAATTTTTGTTTATTTTATAACTGGTTTTGTGCAAAGTATCTAAGACTGGAGAGACATTGTGTCAGGTCATGAATTCGGGCCAGATTATTGTGAATAATATTAGAAACTTCAAAAATAATTATTTGTGCTTACTACTTATCAAAAACAATTAGAAAACGTCAATTTAACCGGGTTATTCCAGTAGCGTGCCCATTTTTTTGTTATTAAATAATTAAGTTAAATTATTTATTTTTATCAGAAGTACCGTATGATCGAATAAAAACGGCGTCAGCGATGGCTATGAAATGACGGCTGATGACATTTCCCATATAATTTTACATATAAAATGACAGCGATCTTCATTTCATAGCCATCGCTGACGCCGTTTTTATTCGATCATACGGTATATTTAACAATTTTAATCATTAATAACATTAAATGTTATTAATGATTAAAATACCCTTTCCTTGGTCCTTTCATTCAATGGCTCAAATGGCAAATAAAAAAAATGATGGACACTTATTTACGATCACCCTGTATATCTAAACGAAACTCTCAGCTGCAGGTATCACCTCCATATCATCTCTACACTTGGGTATGCACAACGTGACGCAAGTATGTTCCCACACGTCTTGGGGGTATTTGTTCTCCACAGTCCACATTTTGGTGTCTATGTCATAATACTCTATGGCCGCCGTGTCTCTGTCAAACATGGCGTCGCTGTGGAACCCGCCAATGAAGTAGATCTTGTTCTCCACGCAAACTATACCCGCGTGGTACCTTGGAGTCGGTACCTTAGTAATTTCCTGTAAATTATGCATGTTTATATATCAAACGTATACGATCGAAAAAAAAAGGCGTCAAAGAAAGCTGGGAAATGAAAATCGATGATAATTTTGGCGAGGAATTAAATAATGTCTGGAAACTAGTTCTATCCTTTTTTATCTCTCAAAAATTTGTGTTAATTTTGACAGTTTTATGTCAATTTTTAGTAAGAGTTTACATCTAGAGATTGACCTTGATAAAACAACCGATTGTCATTAATCAGACGTCTCTGGCGCCGTTTTTTTTTTCGATCATACGGTATTTTGGTGACGCGGACGCTAACTTTTTGATTTTCCTTTAAAAAAAATTAGACACACCCATTGAATAAAAAGATTAAGAAAGGAGCATACCAAAAATCTTAGATCGAACACGACGAGGTCCTCAAAATGGCCGACTTAAATTCCGGTTTATCAGTGGCGTTCTAATTTTATCCAAAACGTGTAAAAATATGATGTAGGGTAGACGTGGGGTAGACTCAATAACGTGTTGTTTTATTTTACGTTGTCAATAAATGTTGGTAGTCATTAAAATTGTTATAAAATTAATATAAATAATAAAACATTAATATTACCGTCCAAGTGTTGGTATCAGGATCATAAAGCTCTATAGTGTCCAGCAGTGCTCTAGCATTCTCTTCTTGTGTCCAGCCTCCACAAACATACAAATATTTTCCTAAAATTTAACATTTCTGCTATAAACAGCTAACTTAACCTTTATTAATTTATTTTTTATTTTATTTTCCTTATTTTTTTACCTTTTTTTCATTATTTATTTGTATTTTTTTTCTTTTTAAATTTTTTTCATTTTTTATTTAGCTTTTCTTTTTTCTTTTATTGTCACTGTTTAACTTACCTATACCCAGCATCACGTGATCCGCTCGTGGCTTCAACAACAGGGCGCAAGCAGACCATTTCTCCAATATCGTATCATAGCAGTAAACCTTTGACATGCACACATAATCCCTGTCAATGCCTCCGCTAATGTATAACTTGCTGGAAAACGACGATTCAATACCGGCCCCAGCGTGCTGACTTATGTGTACCGGCAAATCCGAGATCATATACCAAACGTCCCTTCTACAAGGTTTATATCAGTTAATTCAATCTTAATACACAGGATTATTCATGATATCAGTTAAGTAATGTTCTCCGATTGAAATAGTTGTAGTAGTTTTGCAAGATAACGCAACAAAATGCAAGAACTGTAGACAAAACAGTGGTATAAAACTGCGTGTGTGTATAACAAGCAGTAGTACAGGCATAGACAAACAAATAAAAAGAGACTGACAAATCTCATGGTAAAGAGTGGGACCGCGTTCCCGTAGCGCAACTCAGAATAACAATTTTGAAACCAATTAGCAGGACCATGGCAGGACGTACGTCTTTATTGCTATCTTTCTTTATTATGTGTGCTTTATATGAAAAAGAAAGAGATAGGTATAAAACGTATCGTAAGACATTATCGCACATTCTGGCTGGGGGGAAATTTAAATTAGCCATTATTAGTAGTATTCTTTCATTCTGAAACTGAAAATTTTCACTTAAACTGATTTATTCCCTGTACCACGTAAAGGGAACGTGGTGTAGGGAATAAATCAGTTTAAGTCAAAATTTGCAGTTTCTTTCAGAAGAAAGAATACTACTATTATAAGGGAAATTATAAAAAAAAAGCAAAAATTGTACTGTTTTACAAACATATTTATTTATACATAAAAATAAATAAACTTTTTATAATATAATTACAAAAAATAACAGTGTTTATTCCACCCACCTACCAATTTTAAATGCAGAAGAACTGACTGTTGTAGGAAACGATCGGCCGATTTTTTTAAAGGGCATTAAAAATCTCATTTTCGAAAAAACTGCCTAATTGCAATAACAAAGTGAATATCCAAACAAAGAAGACTTTACGAGAATCATGATCCTGAACCATTTTCAAGTCCAGTTTTAATCCTAAAACAAAAGTAGAATAGGTATATTAATAAAGTTTCTGGTTACTATAAACCAGCTATAAAACTACCCAAAAAATGAAAAAAAATTAATTGCATTAATTTGTTATGTTAAGTAGTGTCAAATATTTTTGACACTACTACTTCTACTTTTTTCTTAATAAGATGATAAATATAACTACTTACTTTTATTTTACCGGGTGTCTTTAACATATCTATGAGAGAAAGGGGGCACTAATACATATAAAAAATAGATGATACTGGCTCCTGCAGCAAATAAAATAACAAATAGTGTAACCTAAAATTATAAGTAACAAAATATAAATACCGATATGAAACAAAGGAATTTGTTCCCTATCCATATTCATAAGTCAATAAAATGGAGAGTTTAGAAAAAAAGGTAAATCACCAAAAGAAAAATTAACAAACATGACGAATTGTCATGATGTTGTCATCTTGGTTGTCATGATGACGAAAACGAAAGGCGATTGTTCTAATTTCTATTTAGAAATTACGTTTTATATGGTTGCTTCTTTCTCTCTTGTTATATTAGAATGAGATAGTGTGCCCAATAGACGCAATGCGCAGACCAACATAAAATAGAACCAAATTTTGCGTTCTGAGTTGCGCTACGGGAACGTTGTCCCTCTCTTTGCCATTTAAATTGTCAGTTTCTTTTTATTTGTTTGTCTATGAGTACAGGTTAAACGTGCAAACTGGCCTGTACAGTCAGCTTTTCCTAAAGAACTGAGCGTCTATGGGTGCTCTGATTGAGGGGCATATCACTGACATGTGAATTGACCTTTTAGACTTTTAAAACCAGGGGCCGGAAAGTGAAATAGCAAAAGCGGTTCCACCGTTTCCATGGAAATTTCAAATAAAATAGTTCCAGCCTCGGGCGCTAGGTGGTGGTGCAATTAATTTTTAGGTTAAGAAGTTGCTATTAGTTATTGCCAGATGGCGTTCAATCAGATTTTTTTTGTAGTTTCCATAGTTTCCAACGGCCATTGTCATACTATTGTCAAATTCTCAAAAAATATTGTCGTTGTCGTAGCGCCAATCATAATATTATCAAAAATGATTATCAAAACGTTTTTCAAACTATAATTTGTTATATGTGTTTTTATTAAACAATTCCGTTTGTTTGTGGCCCTAAAAATATAATGTAAGTCTTTTATTTTTGCCATCATTTAAGTACCTATTTATATTTACTCAATTTACAAAACTTTGGGCGTATTACGTTGGTCTTGTTTTATTATAATAAACGATGTTTAAATATTTGACTTATAAATAAAAACTTTAAATAATAAATAATATTTACACATGTTTGGCTTTAATTTTATTTAATAATTGTATAAATTATACTGTTAAATCTTATTTTTTACACATCACAACGATACTTGTTATTAGTATTGTTGAATTTGTGTAAAAAATAAGATTTAATAATCAAATTTCATTATTTTAGAATAAAATTCATTCAGCGCGGGCTCATTTAAAAAGCGCGCGCTTCGATCCATTTAAAACAAGCCCTACTCAATAGATGGCGCCACTTCTGTAGGACCATTTTTCAGTATGGCAGAGTCCATTCTTTTTCTAGCTAGGTATATTCTAGTGATGGGAATAATCGAATTATTTTCACCATCGAATAATTAGTAATAATTCATATTTCACAATCGAATTAATAATTCGAATTATTTAGTAGTATTATAAATTTAACCTAAAAATAAATTCGTCCCAGCTAGTGCTCGTCTAGGGGCTATTTTAAACAAATCTGAACCATTGCCATACCTATATTCTATCACTGAATAAAAAATTTAAAAAAATATTCTTTATTCAAATGTATTCTATTAACTGTGCCGAAGCCGTTTAATAAATTAAACCATAATTTAAAGTTTTAAATTTAAAAGTGCCGAGTTCATGATTGTTTCAATTCCTATTGAAAAAAGCTCATATCTAAAATAAAAGCTTCTTCTAAAACGATATAAGTATGTCCTTGTTTACGTGCGGTTCGTATTTCTTTTTATTTTATCAGTTGCAATCAATAATTATTTAGATAAAAGAAGAAAATTAATTTTAGTGTTCGGTGAAATTTGGGTGAGATGGAATGAACCAAATAATAGTAGTATTTTTTTCGTTCTGAACGAAATGAAAATTTTCACTTAAACTGATTTATTCCTACGTGGTATAGGAAATAACAATGATTTCTGGATTTTTCTATATTGGATCGTTCCTTTTCTTTGCCGATTCCCTTTATAAATCAGTTTAAGTGAAAATTTTCAGTTCGTTCAAACGAAAAGAATACTACTAATAGTACTATACTAATTACTAATATTCGTATTTGTCCATAAGAGGTTATGTTTTATGTTCATTTGTATTCGGTTACCACAGATATAATATAAAATACTACTAATTTTTATCTCGATATATCGAAAAAGATAATTCGAATTAGTTAGTTTTAATTTACTATCGAATTAGTCGTATTATTTAATTCGAATTTTCCCAACACTAGTATATTTTTTGTTTAAAACACTCACGCAGGATTGTAACATTCGCAAGTGCAAGTGGCATCCTCCTCACTGATACCTCCGACAGCATACAAAACGTCACCTATCACATTCAAACTAAATCTACATCGTTCTATTTTCATGGGAGACATCGTAGTCCATTTGTTACTCCTAAAAAATGCCAAAATTTATATTAAAATGACACATTATTAATAACATATATTATGTCATCAAAATCCGCCATTTTGACTCCAAAGTATCGGACAAAGATTTGAATAAAAATATTAAGGAAGGAAAGTATCAAAAAAGTCATCAGTGCCGTTCTAATTTTGGTACTTTGGTGCTTAGGCGTAAAAATGCTTTACTTTTATGCCTAGGCGTTAAAATGACTAAAATCTTTGAATAAGAAGACTAAGGAAGGAGTATAATGCTATCCATGTATTCATGCATGGTGGGCGGAAAAACCACTATAAAAGCTCTCTAGGGTGGGGATCCTTGACAGTTCTGTTTGACGATTCATTTGACACATTTAAATTTGATTTGAAATTTTGTGGATCTGTCAGTCTTTACGGAGCTTACTTTATGTTATTTATTATTTATTCTACTACTGATAGTTGTATAAAGGTAGTAAATCTAGATGGAAATTGTGGCAGAACTTAAATTAACAGTGACACTATCGCGATTTTTCGAAAAAGACTCTAAAATAGTTGGTTGTGTAGCGTGCGGTAGATCTCGGCAAAAATTGAGTGAAATAATGGAACAACTTTTCGCTAGTAAGTGACTATATAATATACATACGTGTAGTAAACCGATCATTTATGAAATTCACTTAAATTAACTAAATTATATATTTTTCCTGCATTTTAGCTTTTTTATTTATTACTTGTCAAAGATTAGATGTCAAAGAATTTAGATACGTTAATTTGACTTACCTGCTTCAGTAGCGTATCGGATGTTTGTGTTAATAAATACTTATTATAACTTATCTATTTTTATTAGAATTATATATTTTTATAACAATTTTAATAACTACCAACATTTATTCACAACGTAAAATTATTGAGTATACCCCACGTCTACCCTACATCATAGTTTTACATTTTTTAAATAAAATTAGAACGACACTGATAAACTGGAATTTAAGTCGGCCATATTTGGGGCCCATCGCGGTGTACCTAAGATTTTTGATATGCTCCTTCCTTAGTCTTCTTATTCAAAGACTAAAATTAATACTTTTGTGACGTTTGAAAAAAAAATTCTTTTGATCTGAAGCGACCGACATTTTTGCGGAATATACAGGGTGTCCCAGAAATAAGTGCAAGTATTTTAACTGGTAGTATATTTCGGCCTAAGAGTTTTTTTGCGAAAATTTTGAATTAAAAATTTAGAACTTTTTGAAAAAATTTTTGGAAATTTATTTAGTTTTTAATTTAAAAAACATAATTTCTTGATAATATGGCAACATAGGTAGTAGATTAAATTTACATGAAAGAAAATCCAGAAAAGATCCAGTGGTTCTCAAAATTTAAGTAAAATAACTCGGTAATTTTGGACTTAATTTGAAAAATGGTAAAGAGAAAAATGTCTCTTGTGACGAGATCTACCACCCCTTAAAATACTTGTACTTATTTCTGGGACATCCTGTATTGGCGACCGATGTGGAAAAATGACATGCGCCGTAGAATTGTTAATGTTATCAGTTACCGCGGACAGAGTAACAAAGATTTAGCCATTTAGGATAGGGCTTTAATTGGAAATAAGTCCTAATTATTGGGAAATCCCACTTAAATATTTTCTATTAAAATAAAAAAAAATGATTTAAATAAAAAATCTGATAAAAATTAAAAAATTTTTATTAAAAAAATCCTGTTTATAAAATATCTGATTTAAATTTAAAAAAATCTGATATGAATAAAAAATCTGATTGAATTTTTAAAAAAATCTGATTTAAATTTAAAACAAAACATAATAATAACTCCCGTATATAGTGTTTAACGCCTTGGGAGTAGCAAGGTCCAGCTTGCCATACTAGAGCCGTTCAGTTTACAAGGAAGGTAATGTGGCTAGCACTACGCTTCAACCGCCTATTATTACCTCAGGATTGTGAATCCCAAGTACTCATTTAAGGCTGAGTCGACCTAGGTACCCAAACTATTTTTATTTTAATAAAAATAGTCGGCTGATGAAATGCCGGGTGTGGGATTCGAACCCACTACCTTCAGATTGGTAGACGAGAGCCTGTACCTCTACGCCAATTTAAAACACAACGATTTACATAAAAAAATCTGGTTTAAATAAAATCTGACTTTAATAAAAAAAATCTGATTTAAATAAAAAAATCTGATATAAATAATTAAAAAAAAAGATTTAAATAAAAAAAATCTGATATAAATAAAACCTGATTTAAATAAAAAAATCCTATTTAAATAAAAAATAGATTTAAATAAAAAAATCTGACTTAAATAGAAAAACTGATTTAAATAAAAAATCTGATAAAAATTAACAAATCTTATATTAAAAAAATCCTCTTTATAAAATATCTGATTTAAATTTTAAAAAATCTGAAATGAATAAAAAACCTGATTTAAATAAAAAAAACGATTTACATAAAAAAATCTGGTTTAAATAAAATCTGACTTTAATAAAAAAAATCTGATTTAAATAAAAAAATCTGATATAAATAATTAAAAAAAAAAGATTTAAATAAAAAAAATCTGATATAAATGAAACCTGATTTAAATAAAAAAATCCTATTTAAATAAAAAATAGATTTAAATAAAAAAATCCTCTTTATAAAATATCTGATTTAAATTTAAAAAAATCTGATATGAATAAAAAACCTGATTTAAATTAAAAAAAAAACGATTTACATAAAAATAATCTGGTTTAAATAAAATCTGACTCTAATAAAAAAATCTGATTTAAATAAAAAAATCTAATATAATTAATTAAAAAAAGATTTAAATAAAAAAATCTGACAAATAAAAAATCTGATATAAATAAAACCTGATTTAAATAAAAAAATAGTTTTAAATAAAAAAATCTGACTGATAGAAAAACTGGTTTAAATAAAAAATCTGATTTAAATTAAAAAAAAACTGATTTAAATAATGATTTTTGTCAACCCTGGCATGAATATCTACGTGGCATTATACTCCTTAATCATTTTTATTCAAAACAACAAACCAATAGGAAATTGTCGTTTATTTACCTTGGATTGTATTTGAAACCAAAAGGATGGACATTTTCTTGCAAAGACTGGTTGAAGCAGCCTCCGACAATGTACAATTCGTTATTGAAGACAGAAGTACCATAATTACACTGTTCCACGTGCGGTATGGACGTCAAATGCTTCCATTTCCTTTCCGACGCAAAACAATACGTGATTTCGTTCGTTATACCGCTCATACCGAAGCCTCCTATTTTTAATACCGCCATCTCCATGCCCCTGTATAATATTATAATTAATTACAGATAAAAACAAGTTTAAAAAATAGAACTGAAAAGTAAAAAAGTCTAAATAAAGCCTCAATAATAAGTCGAGAAGATTTGGGACACTCTCACTGTACGGGGCGTCCCATTTTCGTGTGTTTTACAAATTTTCTTAGTTACGTAATCGAGGGCGCGATTTTGAAATCCATTGTTGCCAACCATGAACGTATTCGGCGCACGGCTGACTAACTGGAATTTAAAATTCCCGCTGGGGATTCAGGTGGCAGCTCCGCTGTAAAAATTGTCAAGTTGGCACATTTATTTATTTATTTCCTGACGTTGTCATTCGTTTTAAAACTTTAGTTTTGTATATTATGAGTTTCTTTAGTTTAAATGAATTGTGTTTTTTGAGTGAGAAGATTTTTAGAAAATTTTTACTAGCTGACATTTTGGAACCTCTTTTAGAGCAAAGTGTACAAGATCTAGTCTATAAAATGAATAACCTTGAATTTTGATCGTTATTTTTTACCAACATGGCAAATATAAAATCCCTCTGTCAAAAAAGTTACTGATATTAAAGACTATCAAGATCTGATTCGTTCAGGCACTCAATTTAAAAAAATTGAGTGCCTGAACGAATTAGATAGGTAACCCTTTTTATTTTCGTGAAATAGAAAAGGAAAATAATAAAACAAGTGACAGTTCTTCCTCTTCTTGCAAAAATCAACACGAAATGTCATAATTGTCAAAAGTAAAATGTCATCAGCTTTTGACATTTCTGAATATCAGGTCAATGCCGTCTCTAATAGAACAGTCTCGGAGCGAGATTTATGACGTCACGCTAGTTAGATACTACAGATTAATAAATATGTTGTAGAATACATGGAAAACATAATTATTCCTCGTATTTTTGGTTTGTATTTTAAAAATGATATAGTTTACATAAAATATACATAATATACAGTTAATAAATACAGTATATACAGGGTGTCTCAGATTTCAATCGGGAAAATTTAATAGACGATAGAACTTGCAAAAATAAAACAAAAAGTTCATATCAACTTGTACGACTTAAAGCTTCCTTTTCGAGATACAGGATACCATTAGAATACCAATTAGAATTTATTTTTTTCCACAAGAAATAAGCAAGATAGACAAAATATAATATTGTAATTAAAAATAATATTTTTAATTACTAAATCCAAAAATAATATTAAACTTCTAAAAAAGCAGTGGCGTGCCTATTTTTTCCTTTAAAAGAATTTAACAGTGATGCCCCACCGCCGCCCCTGGCCATTAAACTTAAATCTAATTACATCAAATTAAGTCCCATAGTAAGTATTATAAACGGGTCAAGTTATATCAAAATCGATTGTAACAGTCAAATTTCCTCGCAACGACCTCTGTGTGCTAGCTCATAAAATATCGCAAATAGCTATTATTTTTGCATCATGTTTACTATAATTTTATTGTTAAATATTATTTTATTTAAATTTTACAATTATGCAACAGCCACAGAATATTATCACTGGATGCCGCCCAGCATTAGAATTTTTGTCCATCTCTCTAAATCTTTGGCCACCACTTGTCACTTGTCACTGTCAGATCAAATCAGATGTTTTTGGATTTATTTATCCTTTGTTTTTGGTTATTGAAATTTTATAATTATCAGATAAAATTTCGTAGTTAAATTGGTTATTTTTGATGTGGATCGTGTGTGCAATTCGTTCATTTAATGGTGGGAATTTGTGAATAAGTTCGTTCATTGACCGGATATGAAATATGACAATGAAAAATATTCTAGAACGTCGTTTTTTTATTTATGCCTTTTTGTGAGTTGGACTAGTCGAGATATATAGTTCTCTATCTATATCCTGGAGGGAGATTTCCGGTTGAAATCTGGTTTTGTGAAGGAAATCGAATCCTTGCATCACTTCTTGTGTATCCACCGACTGAAGAGTGTCGTCGTGAAGAACTGGCTGTCGTTTCGTGAAGCATTTCCTGTTGGTAGTTAACAGGTCTTCCTAGAGAAGGATTAAGGCTTCCGAAACACATTTGGTTAGAGACGTGGTTGGATTTTGTTGATTTGTATGGACCACCGACCAATTTCCGTAAGGGATTAAATAGCCAAATTTTCCGACCGATATTCCGATTCCACGTGCCCAAGAAGTCCCCGACAGTTCCAAGGTATGCTATAATTCTTCTGCCTATTCTAAGTCAATGCTCAACTGATTTTTGTTCATATTGTTTTCTGGTTTTCGACTTTTCCACGCCCACGTGGTGTAGAAAGATTAGTTGAGTGTTATCTTTCTTAAATCTTATTTGGTTGTTCGTAATTGTAGAGCAAGAAGACCGATCCAGACCGTAGCACAAGAACAGTCCAGAATTCCATCCGTTCCTGTTGCCCGTGTGTAGAGTTACCCGATGGACATCATAAACTCTCGTTGAGGTAAAGTTCAGATTTGATTAGTCCTTCTTTATTACCTTTATTAACTCCTACACGTTGTGCTAGTCCTTGTTCTATAATTGAGGCTCTTTTCTAAGACAACCAATATTATTTAGGGTTTTTTTTATGTTCACCTCTTGAAGTCCTACACCTGGCCGGCATCCGTACGTCTGCTGACATCCGTGGGCTCCAGTGACAGTACACCGAGCTGCTGTGCACCGCCGTAGCCACCCTGTAGCTATACACCGTAGCTCAGCCGGAGGAACTTCCGAGTTGTTTCAGATTGTATATCGATTAGAGTAAGACTGTTTAGATTTAGTTTGATATTTGTAATCTACCCAGGATTTTGTACTTAGTTTAAGTAAGGGGGATTATGACGTCATACTTTTAGTTTTATTGATTTAAATTTCATTTCACTTTACATCTATTTTCATTTACCTTCAATTACATTTCATTCATTTCTTTTCTTTATATAATAACTTTTTATATATCCTATTTAACTTTTTAATATTTCAATATATTGCTTAAATATTTTTAGTAGTATTATTTACAGTCTAGTCTCATAGTTAAGTTAGAGTCACTTAAGTAAAAATAGTTATAGAATATTTGAAGTTCATGGTAGTTGCACTCAACAGTTCGAGGTTAGTGTTGAAGTCTACTTAATAGTTACATCTTTATTGCCGAGTTCATAGAGTATAATCTCGTGGCGCCCTTTTATTAATATCTTTGAACCCCGACCACCGGCTGTTAAAATTAAAAAGCTAGTGGCCTCTATGCAACTCATTCAGATTAAGTAAACTTTGTGTTTTATTGAACTTCGAATAAGAAAGGGCGTGGCAATTTTGGCGCCCAACGTTTAAGGCAATTCTTAGCACCCAACGCTTAGGGCTGATTTGTTTCGACGATTTTTGGTACCCAACCGATCTGGGACTTACCTGTTTTATTTTAGGACCACTTAAACTAACCGTAGTTTATAATTGGGACCTGTTGAGTTTTTCTTATTTTTCAAATATCTTATTTTTTTTCTTTTTTAAGTAACTTTAACACCCTGTATCTCGAAAAGGAAGCTTTAAATCTTACAAGTTGATATGAACTTTTTGTTTTATTTTTGCAAGTTCTATCGTCTATTAAATTTTCCCGATTAAAATCTGAGACACCCTGTATATATACCTATTTATAGTAATAAATACTTTGGCAAATAAACTATGAACCATACAAATGCAGCAAATGTTTTCCATTGGTATTATTGTATATGATGTTTTTTCCGTCTTTAAGGAACTTACCTAGAATTCAGTAGCGTACCAACAATTGTAGGTAACTGCGACCTAGTACTACCCGTTTGCAAGTACATCTGCTGCAAAATTATTTTGTTCAGTATCTGGAACTCGTAGTTTCTGTTTTCGAAAAATTTATCCAACAAACTATCCAGCTTTCTTTTAGAAATTTCGTTAAAATGAATGTACTTTATTATCCTAACTGCGTACTCTATCCGAACGTCTAACCTTAAATTTAAAAAAATAGCACCCCAGAGAAATAAGTAAACAGAGAGACACCCTACAGAGTATCTCTTAAGTAAGTGCAAGTACTTTAAAGAGTGGTAGACATGGATTACTTTTACACTACCATTTAAAATACTGGAACTTATTTTAAGAAACACCCTATATATTTTGACTTCTTACTCGTGGTTGTCTACATGAAAAAACCAGGCTAGTACTATCCTCAGTACATCCGCTTCAGAACAATCTACGGGAAAATCATAGGCAAGCAAATTTTCTAGTTGTACAGGTGTCAGTCTGTAAAATTCAGGACTATTTGAAAACTCCAGAAGATGTCCACTCATATACCTGTAAACCTACAAGAAATAACACAACAAATATATATCCTGACGCATAAGCATACATTTTTCAATAACACTTTGTATACCTTCGTTTTCAGAACTGTCAATGAATATGTCTCCGCTATCGTAGCGATATCCACGCAGTTATCCAGGTCGATTTGAGACTGTAAATAATTAGAACAAGCTTGGATACAGTTGACCATCTGGACATGAGAGGCAGCCTCTAGGACATCCTGTACATTGGCTAAGTTCAAGGCTAGCCTGGCTGTGTAGGCGTACTCTAATAGTTGATTAAAACCTGAAAAAGAAACAGAGAATATGCAACCAGCAGCAGACAGCCTGAGTTGTCATATAGATTATTATTTTATTATATTAGATATATTATACTTGGGTCTGACTCAAGAACAGTTAACCTAATAGGACTGCTCATTCAGCCAAAAGTGTCCGCCAGGTACATGCGAAAACTACTCGCTTTGTGACGTCGTTGTAGTCTTGTCATGGTTATTTAGTTCTTATCCGGCAACCAATAATACACACGTGCATTATTGGTTGCCGACTGCAAAACGTTCAGTATTTAGTTTATTTATTTAAACACCTTATATGTATGCAGTATAGAAAATTAACTGTATAAATCGTATTAAATACTCGGATAATGCATTTTTAAAAACAGCAGTTCCCAGCATCACCTTTTGCAAGCATTCTTTTTAGAATACTTCCATATTTTGCTTTAAAATAATTAATAAACAATATCGTGGGCACTTAATAAGCACTTTGTCACAATCCACAACACAAAATGAACGTATTTAGACACTCTATAGCTCTAAAAACTCTAAAGACACCTTTTTCACATTTAAAATTGACAAAATAATTAACTCAAAATTTATCAGCTGTTACTCATAAGTTTACCATAGGCAACTAATAATACACACTATCATGACAAGGCAAGGACAAGGCTTTGACAAGGACTACAATGACGTCACAACTGTCAGCTGAAGCGCGGGAAGAGGCGAACGTACGTCTTATGAGGATGAGCAATCCTATTAGTTTACCGTTCTTGGGTCTGACTAATTAAATACAAACCTTTTGCGGTGATGCCATTTAAGCAAATCTCGTTCTGCCTAGCTTCCAGCATGTTATCGGTGAACATGGCCCTGAAGTAGTCGCTGCAAGCCGACAACACCGCCTTGTGCGCCCTGAAGACAGTCCCTTCTATCACTAGGGTTATGTCCAGGAGTTCTTCCTTGAGTCTTAGTGAGTTCAAACCTTCTAAAAGTATGTTTTGGTGGGAAGAGTGCTCATAGAAAATGGTATTGAGAGGTTTGTCATGAAGAAACCTTTCCTTAGTTCTTGTCATGTCTGCTGATTCTTCTTTTGTCTTAATTTATTTCCTAGATTTGTTCAGAAGGTAATGTCTGAAAAAATATTTTTATTTCAGACATTTATTTATAACAGCTGATTCGATAAAATTACCTCAACTTATGGCCATCTGGAACACTAAACACTAACATTCATTTATTACAGCTTCTCAGTTCTGTAACAAAAAGAAACAATAACCATTTTTTTTATTCAAAAAATGTGTTAAAGAAGATTTAAAAGCATTCATTTCAAATCATATTTATTTAAAATAAACAAAAAACACTTACTTTATACCATAAAAGATACGTAGGTATTCTTTAAACAAAGATATCATTTAAAAAAAAAACAGGAATACAGACTTTGACTAAAATTAAAACAACAAAAATAAATTATATATTATTATACAGTTATATTATACTCTAAAAACACGTAAATATATGTGAGTATCATTTAGGTTAAAGCTAGGAAGAATAACAATGGTGTAGACTTGACATTTTAATAATATAACTTTATAAAACAAGAGTGAAAGTATGCGGAACTTGATGGTCAAACCCAGAGAGCAGTACTGCAATAAGATATTTTAAAGTATATTATAACAATAACACTTTTGTGGAAGTATTACGTGATCTAATGTAATATAAAATACAGGGTGATCTGTTTGAATTAGTTGAGGTAAATATTCTATCTAATTTTCAAATAAAACAATTTATTTATGCAATCTACTATGTCTCTATAAACTTTGATGCTCTAACATCTATATACCAAAAAAAAATGAAAGAAATAGAATAAAGTACTTATATAATTAATTTACCTAATAACTGTTGTTTGGACTTTGCACATAAACAGTATGTACCATAGTACTATGACAAGAATTAGTACCTAATAAACGGTCTAGAATTCAGACAAATAATACCCTTATAACATTTTTATTTTTTCGGATAAAAAAACGAGATTTGGTATGTTAGTACATGACATAAATTAGGATTTATTGACGTATTCAATAATTAGTTTCGGTACTCTGCCTGTTTCGCTGAAAATGACAGTAACTTTAGATTTTAAATGGTACCCTTGGTATTTTTTACTGGGTGGCTCATTAGCATATTTGGATAGAGCATTTTCTTACGAATAATTTGGTACCACATACTTGACATTTTGAGTTTATGTCATTTTCTATCGAATAAAGTAAAAAAATACGAATGTTACCGTTTCCGGTGAAGCAGGAAATGGCCGAAAATAATTGAATACATCAATCACTCCTGACTTATGTCTTATACTAATATGTCAAATCCAGTTTTTTTGTTTGAAAAAATAACAAAGATATAAGGGTGAGCCACTTTTGAGACACACCCGGTATATCTATGTATCAAATTGTCACTCTTTATTGATAAATATTTGTGTTATTTATTGAATATACGAAGAAAAATATCTCAAAATTTAGCTATCATTGATTAAAAAATATATTTTTTTTTCAGTGTAGCTAATCTTTATAAAAAAATGATTTTTTTAAAATTCTTGTTAAACAGAAATCTAAGAAAATGATGTAAAAATCTGAAGATATCTAACAAACGTGCCCCAAATATCTGCTGGATCAATAGGGTTTCTAATGCTTTGTTACCTAGATACACAAACACAAGAAGTAAAGTTATGGGTCACTATGCAGTGATATAATTAAGAAAACAAAGAATTTGTTATTATCTTTAAGTGATAAAAGAACCTCTACAATCTTGTTGCATAGTTTTTTTCTCAGGTAAATATTTTATCAAATCTTATTAAAAAGTCAGAATACTCTAATTATTGTATTGAAAATCTAAAATCCTAATTCTAATCGAAAAATCAATAAAAAAAAATGAAGTGAAACTTTCTTACTAACCGCACAGATTATACAGATTATAATCTTTGTTTTTTCTTTATTGTTTTTCGTGGTTCCAATTTTCGGAATCGGGCAGTAGTTAAGTGACTAGTTTGCGCACATAGCACGCCCACTTATGGCCTCTAAAATTGTGCACAGCGCCTGACCGGCACAGTTATAAGAGAGATATCGCAAAACCGAATAGCGTCATGCAGTATTTAGGCGTACCTTATCATGGTTACGATATGCGCGAGTCAATTTTTAACGCAACGCCCGTTAATAACGTTACCGCCTGACGTAATTTACGGATCAATTACACCAAGCGCTATTTCTAAATAACGTTTAAAAATTGCTTAAATGGGCATGTGCGGGTATCTGACAACCGGGGCCGGCCGGCGCGGCGAGATCTTTTATTTTAGGTTATGTTTGAATTGTTTTGAATTATTACTTTAGTTTTTTATTAGGTAATTTGATATTTAAGTAGCTGGGATTAGTTTTAATTAAATAAATATGGCCCAAAATATGGATTCCACCTCTTCCAATATTAAAGAACCTATAAAGAGGCTTAGGTTTACATCAGATGACGATTTAGCCCTTCTAAGAGAATTTGTTGCTTGTTGCTCTAAACCCACTGGCAGACGTTGAACAATAAAGCACTGGAAATAAGCACTTTAGCCCTTTAGTTTTAAAATACCTAGTAAACAAAACAATTTCAAAGTTTTAAATTCAAAGTTAGGTTAGGTTTAAATAGCGGACGCGACACGATCAGAATTCTTTCCGATCCGATAACTATAAATGAAGAGAGTTAATACCACCTCACGTAAAGGAAATAATTCCTGGCCTTATTAACGCCCATGCACGCTATTCGGTTTAGCGATATCTCTCTAATACGCTGTTAATTGTTATTTTACGGGAGTTTATTTTTGCGCACAGGAAATTTTACTTGTTGGCACGTCGTCATAAAAAACAATTTTCGTACCAGGAATTAGGGATAAGATCTTTGAATAAGAAGACTAAGGAAGGAGCATATCAAAAATCTTAGGTACACTGCGATGGACCTCAAATATGGCCGACTTAAATTCCGGTTTATCAGTGCCGTTCTAATTTTATTTAAAAAATGTAAAACTATGATGTAGGGTAGACGTGGGGTAGACTCAATAATTTGTTGTTTTATTTTACGTTGTGAATAAATCTTGATAGTTATTAAAATTCTTATAAAAATATATAATTCTAATAAAAATAGATAAGTTATCAACAACAAACACAAACATCCGATACTCTACTGAAGCAGGTAAGTCAAATTAACGTATCAAAATTCTTTGACAAGTAGTAAATAAAAGCTAAAATGCAAGAAAAATATATAATTTAGTTAATTTAAGTGAATTTCATAAATGATCGGTTTACTACACGTATAGTCACTTACTAGCGAAAAGCTGTTCCATTATTTCACTCAATTTTTGCCGAGATCTACCGCACACTACACAACCAACTATTTTAGAGTCTTTTTCGATAAATTGCGATAGTGTCACTGTTAATTTAAGTTCTGCCACAATTTCTATCTAGATTTACTACCTTTATACAACTATCAGTAGTAGAATAAATAATAAATAACATAAAATAAGCTCCGTAAAGAGTGACAAATCCACAAAATTTCAAATCAAATTCAAATGTGTCCAATAAATCATCAAACAGAACTGTCAAGGATCCCCACCCTAGAGTCCTTTTTCCGCCCACCATGCATGAATACATGGATAGCATTATGCTCCTTCCTTAGTCTTCTTATTCAAAGGATAAGATTTTTATCTGTATACATATAGTATACTGAATCTGTGCTAACAGCTATTAAATTGAAAGATCCTTTATCTATGGTTGAAAAATAACCTGTCAATTTCTTCTAATGTCAGATTAAGTAAAAATGACGTCTTCCACGTCATCGGAGGAGGATATCTTCCGCTGCGACTTCGACTTGGAAAACTTGCAGGCAAGAAAGTCTGAACATGGCGTGGACAATCTCACAGTCAAGTTTTACACCACAGACGCCAAAGTGTTCACACAGTACTTCCCTAACTTTTATAACATCGGATTTGTCAAGACCAACTTGGCTCACTTATTTGGTATACCCAGAGAACTCATCAATTTGCTGTATAAAGAGGAGCCCATAGACGATGGTGTAAGTACAGAATTTTGTTTATGAAATTCTTTTTAAGAGTCCGTTTCACTAGTCCGAAAAAGTGGCAAAATAAGCGTTCGGCATTTAACGTTTTATGTCAAACTGGCTAGGTATTTTTACAAAAATGAGGAAGGAAATTAAAGATAAAGCATTATACTATATTCGTATTGTAGCACATTTTTAGACAACTTCTTTATTTTTAACTTTTTGATGGTCAAACATCAACAAAATATTCCTTATTTTGGACTAAATTTTCTCGAAAATAAGGACATAATTTAAAATTCCGTTACAATACGGAAATAGATTGAAGTTTTGTGAATACAGTGATGTATAATTTATATGGTTTTGCAACAAATTGCTCGCTATTTTATGGCAAATACTGAAGCTCTGCAAACCTTAATCAAAGCACGTGTGTTTGGAAATTTTGATGTGATTTAAACACGACAGGATCGGGCTAAGCAGAGATATTTAAACTCAAGAGATACAATTGTTTACCTTTCTCCTTCATCAGCCATTATTCTATCCTTATTTTCCCATCTCTCTTACACCGAAAACATTTGCCAGATTTACCTGTATATTATAGGTATTAGTATTCGATTAAATACCACAACCAATTATTAAGTAATAAATAATTTCGTTATATTTTTGTAATATATCAACTACATTAATTTGCTAACGTCATTTTTTTCATTTAATGCTTAACTGCTTTAATATTTCAATTTTATAATGGAATAAAAATATCATGGTCGTGTTTCTTTTAATAATAAAAAGCAGTTTGGCAACGTCAGTTTTAGAAATATGCCGGCGTAGTACAACGTATTTCGAGGACGAATGGAAAATCCTAGGTTCTCCTTTTGCGATGTTGCTATGACGCCGATCAAGCTCATATTCTTTATTTGCAGTATTATAGTATTTTTTTGCGTTATTTTGTGGACTTCTGTGGACATTATTTTGAAAATATGGTGCATTCATATATTTTGTACAAAGAGAGTGTATCATTTAAATCCAAATTTAACTTTTTACCGGTAAATACAAATAAGTATGGTTAGGTATATTACTATTATATCCCTTTGAATACTATATCCATATTCTTCTCTGTAGATCAGAGGCGTACCTAGACATAAAAAATAGCAGATCTCTAAATTATATTTTTAGGTTTATTTTTTAAATCATATATTTATTATGTTTTTTAAATTATATATTTAGGTATTAATAAAATTATTTGTAGGAAAAAGGTACATGGTACATACTAATTACCAATAAGTTAATAACAATTTCTGTTTCCCTTTTAAGAAAGGGTATTGAATGTTAAAAATTAAATTTAAGTTCTATAAACCGCCTGTAATTTATAAACAACATCTATTTTCGTACTAAAACCGTACTTTCATATAAGAATAAATCTAATCTAGGTACCTACTTGGGTTTGACAAACCATTACCTACCTTTTGTGAAAATTTTATTGGAGTGTACCAAAGATGGAATTTTGCGGCCTTACTTTTTTTGTTGCCGTTACAATTTTATACAGCTTTTGTTTTAAATTTTGGTAGCTATAATGTAGATGAACAATTTTTGACATACATATAATTAATGTTCTTATTACATGAATTTTATGACTTTCTTACATTTTATTGTATTGAAATTCTTTGCACATGCACTTTTTATTATTTATAAACAATATAAATTTTCCTTTGCAAACAAGAGAAAAAAAAACTAAATATTTTTTTAAACTAAGAACCGTTTACTAAACAATCACCATTTTATTTTATTTATGATTTTGTAAAATTATCGCTAGACTTTTCTGATGACTGTGTATTATAATATCAAATAATTTTGTTTAGATATACACATACCGTATGATCGAATAAAAACGGTGTCCAGTTGGCTTGAAATTGACGATCGATGGCATTTCCTATATAAATTTACATATAAAATGACAGCGATCTTCATTTCATAGCCATCGCTGACGCCGTTTTTATTCGATCATACGGTATAATACACATCTTATATTTTCAGTTCTGATTTACTGTGTTTGAAACATCCCTAAAATGAAAGTTAAGGTAAATAAATGTTGAATTTTCTTACTTCTTATTCCCTCATTAATGAACAATTGTGAACTAATAAAAATTATAAGGCATATTTTAAATTTTATTCACTGTTTTTTATTGTAGTTGCAAAATTCATAATTTTGCAACTACACATATATATATATATATACTACTAACATATATATATATATATATATATATAAATTCATAATTTTGCAACTACTATATATATATATATATATACTATATATATATATATATATATATATATATATATATATATATATATATATATATATATATATATATATATATATATATATATATATATATATATATATATATATATATATATATATATATATATATATATATATATATATATATATATATATATATATATATATATATATATATATAATAATAAAGTTTTTATTATTTTATATATAAAATATTGTGTTATTAGGTTAAAATAACTATTTTATTTTGTTACTGCTAATAGAGGGAATCTCATTCGCCGGAGACGAACAAGGTTTGGAACAAGATATTGAAACTGCATTTAGTAATACACCTAAAATTTGATATTTTATTTAATAAAATAAAGTAAAAAACGCTTATTAATTTTTTAATCGTTATTCTTATGCGAAAAGCCATCTTATAATAAAAAAATATGCCGGTTTTTATTTTATTGCGCTATCCTCCCTCAACTTATTTTTTTACAATGCGACAAATCCATTCTCTCTTGCACTCGTTAATTTTCGCAAACCAAGGTGTGATGAAGCTTTAGAGCGTTTTATGAACGGATCATTGTATCTCCCGAGTTTAAATATCTTTGGGGCAAAGCCTTAGACTTTCATTTTTGAACCTTTGGGACTCTTACATTTCTTTAGCTAGTAAAAAAATGCGTTTCAGGCAAGATTGGAAATGTTAAAACCAGACAGATATGGCATTTTGGAGTTCAAACTTGGAAGCAACGATAAAAATCACAAAATACCTAATTGAGAATGCTTACAAAGATATGACTGTGCCCGATATACTGACAATTCGAATTGAAAAAGATGGAGAAGTCAACGATGTGGTTGTAGAAGTTGAAAATAGAGCAATTGAGAAACCCTACATAGGTAACTTTTATTTAACATGTTCTTATGTACAGGATGTCTCATTTTAACTATATCTCTACTAAGAATGGAGATACCGTATGATTTCAACTAAAATGGGAGACCCTGTTCAGTCTATTTTATATAATATATGTTACGGTTAAGGTCTAATACCAGGTTAATGTCGACATTACCCGGTTAATCTCGAGAATGACACAAACAAAAACAACCAGAAACCAAACCAAGCCCAAACATTAACCTGTTAATGTTGACATTAACCGGATATCAGACTTTAACCGTAACATATACAGTACGTCTGACCGTTCTGTAGCTACGGGGTATCCGTGAGAGGGGAAACGATATTCTCTCAATGTTTTTCGTAAAAAATTAGACGACGCGTCCCATCAATAAAAATTCGACAAATTTGCAAATAGCCAATAAAATGAGTGGGCGGAGCGATTTGCGGTGACGTACTCGTCAAGTCAACGTATAAAATATATTGCTGTTTATTTAAATGTTTTTTGTCCGCATTCCTTTCATAGACACAGATCCAACAGACATACTGTACATGTCTATATGTGTCGTACTATTACAGGAGGCTACAAAGATGCCCATACAGATATTCTGTACCATCACGGGTACACTCAGACTGGACCACCAAAACCAAAAGTACCACCGGAGTTAAAAAATCACAGAGACACTCAAACGTACTTTACCAGGAACAGAAGAACGGAACAAGACTACTCCAGGGCTACTCAGGTACAAAAACCTCAGAGAAATAAATAAAATAAGGCACAATAGCCTCTATGTATACCTATTTTTATTTCTGGCATTTAAAACTTTGTTTTTGTTAGGTGACGACCAAAGGAATCTACTTGCCTAACGCTTGTGACAGAATTTTGACACCTGGGCCTTATGAAACAGCTGATGAAAGGGAGAGGCGTATAGATATTGAAGGCAAAGTCAGAACCATACAGAGATATTATAGGTATTTTTTTTAACTATTATTAGTCACTATTAATGTTAAGTAAGTTTTTATACATCTACTAGCGTGTACCAGCGACTTCGTTCGCGTCAAATTAATCATTTGTAATGGTGATGATAAAGCAAAGCAAGAATTTCCATTAACATACAAACTGGATAAAATTTTCTCACATCTATGTCAGCATGAGAAAAAACAATACGGCGATATTATTATATAACTTGGTAATATTTGAGGGGTAGTTTGATCTCGTTGGAATTTGACTTTCGAAAAATCCGTTTGCCAAAAATAAGCTTTTTACGTCAAGCAGTTTAAGCAGAATCGTGGTTAAGAAATTACCCAACCTTTTGGAACACCCTGTATGATTTTTTAAAAAATTTCAAAATATGTAAAAAATACCAAATAAATTATGCTTGTCCAAGCGTTTTCCCGAAAGACTAACCGTTTTTTAAATAACAAATATTGTAATATTTGAGGGGCAAGCGCACTTGGAATTTGAGATTCGAGAAACCCCTCCTTATCGAACTTCTACACCCCACAGTCAATCCTTTTGCCAAAAATCAGCTTTAAACGTCAAGCAGTTTAAGCAGAATCGTGATTACTCAATGGTCATATTTTATGAAACACCCTATATAAAGTTATAAAAAATCTTAAAATATGTTAAACTCACCGGTTTTTAAATAAAAAATGTTCTAATATTTGAGGGGTGGTTTCACCCCCTTAAAATTCGAGTTTCGAAAAATCTCTTCTTATCGAACCTCTACACCCTAAAGTCAATCCGTTTTCCAAAAATCAGCTTTTTGCGTCAAGCGCTTTAAGCAGGATCGTGATTAATCAATGACCAAATTTTTCTAAACACGCTGTATACATTTTTAAAAAATCTTAAAATATGTAACTTGACCGTGTTTCACCCCCTTGGAACTGGAATTTCGAAAAATCCCTTCTTATCGAACCTCTACACCCTAGAATCAACCTGTATAGCAAAAATGAGCTTCTTACGCTGAGTGGTTTGAGCAGGATCGTGATTAATCAGTATGTCAGTCACTTAAGGATTTTATATATTAGTATAGATTGTGTCCCCTTTTCTTGAGTTATATCTCATCATACAGTCTCAGGGCTTTGACAAAAGCCAGTATCTGAGACGGTTTTACAGAGGATAGTTAGTAGTTGCTTAAGACTACAGTGTTGTTTATCTATATATGTTCAGGACATTTCAGGAGACATTGACAACTCTGTCGCAGAGGCGCGGCGTTGCCAACAGCATAAAACATTCTCCAATTTAATAGATTTTTTATCAAAAATGCTCAATTTTTGTCTCTATAATTCCAGAGCATGGATGATGAGAAAAAAACTGAAAGAGTTCAGCGACGAGTACCAAAAACGACTACGAATAGCTTTGGAAAGGGAAGAAAAAGAACGCATCGAAGATGCAAAACGAAGAAAAAAAGATCTGGTCGACAAAGTGTTCCCGGTCAAAACCGAAGACTTCGCCATGTTGTACAGCATGGTAGACCGTTGGAAAAAATCGGAAATTGAACGTATAACCTCCATACACTGTGGCCCATCTAAAATAGCGGAATTCTACCTTTTGCTGGAAAAAGAGATCGAAATAATACAATCCATCGAACGCCTGAGAACGAAAGTCAACAAAGACGTCGAAAAGAAACAGATAATCGACTTTTTCAAGGCTATAGGCAGTCCGATTGAGTGGGACAGCGACTATAAGCACATTCACATCTCCATGGACACAATGGAAGCCCAGAAAGGCAGGGAATACTTTCGGTTGTACCAGAGACTTTGCGACCAGAAAGCTACCAAGGAGGATAGGTTGCAAACCTATCTGGACATAAAACTATACTTAAATACACATAAATGCAACGAAAGGCAGGAAATTATCAGTTTGATTGACAGGATGTGCGAGTTTTTGGCCAGGGGAATGTCCGAGAGTAGCTTAAAAGGTAAATGTATCATCTTTTGAAATAAATAAAAAAGTTTGTATAAAAAAAATCGAAATAAAAATGAAACTTCTACACCCTGTCTTTCCTAAACGAAGCATTTTAGGACATACCACACGACATACGTTAATACGAACTTTTTTACATATTTTTAACTGCAGAATATGCTTGTGAAGCTTCCCGAATATAATTCGGACCACCCTGTATAGGCTAAACAAATTCACGGGTTTAAATAGCGAATACAGACGAAAAAAAAATTATATAATTATTTTAAAAGTGTTGGGAAGTATAATTTCTGAAAATTTTAAATGCCTATTTAATTCTCTTCTAATATGCCTATTTAATTTTTGATTATGTAATGGGCACTTTGTTTACTCACTTGTTTCATCAACCTGCTTGAATCTTTATAGAGCAAATAATTGTAGCATATATTTTATTTAGATTAAAGCTGCAAAAATTAATGAGATGAACCAAAAAACAAACCATCGAGAAAGGATGTATCTAGATGATAAAATAATTTTTAAATTTCTTGCTGTTTTAACATATTTCACAGAGTGTTTCAAACTTTCATCAAAAATATCAACATTTTGTTTTCCCTCTTATAATTAACAGATGGGGAGTTTCATTTTTAATTTAGAAAAAGATATTATATAGAAGTTAAAGAATTTGGCAACACACTGCTTAAAATATTATCAAAATCGGCCCATTAAAATAAAATATATTAACCTTTGTGCCGGTGAATGTATTTCAAAAGCCATACATTTTAGTCATATACTTTTCTAATGAAACAAACCTTTATTTTTTTACTAGAATCCAAAAATTAATTAATATATAGGGTGTTCCATTACAAAAAACATAACTTTGATGTGTAACTTTTTTTGGGGACACCCTGTAGAACTCTACATAATTTTAGAAAATGATTCAAATTGACTTACATATACTCACGAAATTTCACTTCAATATAAACTTTTTTTCTCCTTGCATAAACCGCGTCGTATATGTCGCGCCACCCTGTATAATTCGATTTCAATCAAAATTTCGATGATTAGAATATAAGCAGAATAGGTATAGCTTATGCCTTAGATTTATTTACTTCAATAAATTTACTTAGAAAAAGAATTATAAAAATTAAAAAATTAAGAAGGAAATAATTAAGAATTTACTAAAATTACAAAAATAAAAAAATAAAAGCAACGAAAAAAAATGGGTCAACATTTTATCTATAAAACACAATACAGAAGGTTTCACATTAATTGAATTCCGAGGTAAAAGTCTCTGGGCACTCCACTATAGTATTTCAATGCGATCAACATCAGAAGTGTGTGAAATACAGAGCAAAAACTTCTAATTTCAGCCGTATCGAGCGGAATTTTTAAAAAACAACTGAAATGCACCAAGCTATATAAAAAAAAATAAAAAAAAAACGTTACTCTTATAATTATTGTTTCAGTGTTACAAAAACGTATTGAAGCCCTGATTTTACACCACTTCAAGATGACTGAATGCAACGAAGGTGTAACAAGTCACCCCAACAAACTCAGAATAAAACAAATGACCAAAAATCTGATCTACTGTCAGATGTGTCAAAAGATGAAGGCCATCGAACAGTTCACAATCAATGCCAGATCGGAAAGAATTAAGATATGCACTGCCTGTATGTGGCTGGACAAGGCAGAAGAACCTTGGGTAGACTTGTCACCGTACAAATTCATTCTGAGACAGATAAGAAACTATGAAAGACTCCATCATGGCACTTCTTCCATAGCTTTCATCATGCAGGACAGAGATATACAGTTTATAGTGACAGTGATATGGCATGGACATTCAGCTTTGTCTGAATGTGCCGACGTATATCAGCTAAGATTAGTCAGGTTAGATACTTAACACTTTGTTTCAATGACCAGAACTACAACAAGTCACCCAGAACTACAACAAGTCAGTTTTCAAAAGACTTAAGCTTGATTTTCATGCATCCGTTATCTGACGATACGATGATACGATAATCATTTTATTGGTTGAATTTAAAGGCTTGTTGGTAAAATAGTGTATAATAAAATTTTTTTATTTACTTAGTGTAAAGTAAGTTTATATTTTGGACTTAAATCATGATGATCTGCAATTTAAGTCAGTAAAATCACTTAAATCAATATAATTACCCTCAAGTCAAGACCTGCTGACACCCTAGACCAAATTATCTGATTTTTTTTTTAGATGGGACACGGAACAAGAATGGTCTCCCTGGAACTGTATCTTGCTGACAATGGAAGAAGCCAAGGCACATCTACGTTTAGATCGCTTAAATGACATGTACGAACAAGAGTTCAGAAACCACATCTTCAACAAGCACGCTTTGGCTAGGAAACACTTCAAAAACCTCTCCAGTTACGACAAGCATTTTACTGAATTCTCTAAAGGCGATTGGAAGTTAGATGAATGGTCCGATTATTATTCCAGACCAAACAAGCACGAGTGTGATATTGAGATTGAAGAAAATAAAGAGGAAGAAGGTGAAAAGAGTAGTAATAGTAATGGCATAAACAGTGAAGACGATGATGAATGCACATGTAAGAAAATATTTGAAAAAAGTACCAACAGTGAAGAGCTAAATGAATAAAAACAAAAATTCACACACTCACCTTGTAATAAATTGTTAACCTCCCAAGTAAAGCGTTTTATTTACATTGCCTTTCAGTGTTAAAGACTCCTTATTTGCAAAGAAATAATGTAAAACAAACATATAATTACAACTAACCTAATTATGAACTTTTCCTTACCATTTTCATAGTTTCACAGCAAATTTGGACTTTATTTCTTCAACTAGATTGTTCTAACGGTGCTGTTGAGTACATCAAACATTAAAATGGGAAATATTTCATGTTGTACAGTTAGGAAAGATGAACAGATGTTGAAATATAAATGTAAACATCAACACAAGGCTTCTTCAAATGAAAGCTGCAAAAAAAATGACATTGGCATTTTATTTTGACAGGTTGACCTAGTTTTCAGTTTTAAAATTTAGTATTTCGGTTTCCTAAATCGCTGTTTTTAAGCACCATCTATTTGTGCTTAACTATACTATTATTATCTTGTAGTTCTTTTTAAGGATTTGTATGTTCAAAATTGGTATTTCTTGCGAGAAACAACTTTTAAATAGGACAATAAATAAAATTAGGGTATATTTTATGTGTAAATATGTAAATATATATATATTAAAATTTTAAATCTTTATATACTACTGCGCCATCTATAAACTAATAGCCAGACTATTATTAAGTTGCGTTTTTCAGTTTACAGGGTTCTGTAATTCTAAAATTCAGTTTTTTCCGCCCAATTTAATTTTTAAATCAATCAAATTATGATCAAATTACGTTTTTAGATCCCTGAAAGTAAAATTCAAAGTTATGAAACAAAATTATAACAAATATCTTAGATTTTTAATTTAAAAACTTGCATAGAAAACTAACTAAGCGAACTATTAGCACTTAATAAAGTACTTTTAAAACGAGTCTTTTAACAGTGGGGCGAACTTATATGGGAAATTGTGTCGCGTTCCTCAAGTATCTGAAGAAATTGCCGCATTTTACTTTGTGAGACTCGTTGGTCAGTCGAGTACCGCCGGACTAGAGTATTTTTTGAAATAATTTGGCACAGCGCGCGCTATTTTTTTAATATATTTTTTTTGCGTGAAGCGTAGAGTTATTGGACTGAATTTTTGGACATATTTATTAGTGTTGTTAGTGAAAAATATTGCTGAAAAAGCTTGGATGCTAAATTTGAATAAAAAAGGTAATTTTTTTTGTTCTCTATTTTGTAAATTACCACGCACTGTAACTATTATTTTGTTCAGATTTATATAAAATATAATAATAAAAACGGCGTCAGCGATGGCTTGGAAAATTCTTATAAATGAAGATCGCAGTTATTTTGTATGTAAAATTATATGAGGAATGTTATCGATCGCGCGTTATTGCGAAGCCATCTGGACGCCGTCTTTTTTCGTTCATACGGTATATAAATATACAGATATTGTTTTATGTAATTTTGCAAAAAACAAATTATCAAAAGAATATTTTGTTTAAAAAATAAAAAAAAATAAAAAAATAATTACAGAGATAAAAATTAGAAAATAAAAAATAAAATTAATCAAACTGAAATTAAACATTACGAAATATTCGATGAAAATAAAAAGCAAAGATTTAAAAAAAAATAATTAAAAATTATGATGTTTGAATAAAAGATATGAATATATACAGCAATTTAAAAAAATATACTACATCTTGTTATATTTACAAAATAGTAGGCGTACTGTACGTTTATATTTCGTGGGTACTTTTGCCCTTTGAGCTAAAGGTCGACCAAAAGTGAATGTAGCAAAATCCTAAATATCGTTTTCTATATTTTACTATTGCGTTTATTGTTTTATTTCTAATATATTATATTTCCTTTTTACTTATTTTTAAAACACACACATTTAACAAATTAATACCCATATGTCAACATTTGCCATTTTCGCTTAAAAAATTAGTAATTTAAATTTCGTTTCTTTATTTGAAAAATTAAAAGAGTTATAGAGGAGTGAGCCATTTTTGAAAAACACCCGGTATAATTGTTTATTTCCCATTTCTTTTTGGGACTACCATTTATTTTTGCCGGATTTTTTTGCAGTATAATTTTTTTCAGTATTAAATAAAATGTAAAATAATTTTGTCACGTATTATTTTGTTTTTCTATTTTTCTTATTTCTATAGTAATATGTGTTAGTGGTTAGAATATTTACTAATATTTTTTTATACAATTGCAATAGCTCTATGGAAATACATTTTCTGCTTGATTGAATACTAACTGATTTATGCTGATTTTCTTTATTTATTTATTTTTTTTCTGTAGAATAATGCACCCATAATATATACGGAGTGTTTTAAAAGATATGTATAGAATCCCACTATCCTACTAGGTATTCTGAAGCGGAAAAAATATTAAAATAACTCTTATTTTATTATCAGGCTACCAAGTTAATAGTTTTTTTAGAATTTTCTTCTTTAATTTACTAATTAACTTTTTTTTTAATTTTAAAATTCAGAATTTTTTGATCTAGTTGACTGATTTTGATGATTTTTTAAGCAATTTGTAGCCACATTATTTGACTTTTTAGCCCCGACTTAAATTAGAAATTAAAAAGCCCTTGTCTGTGTATTATACGAGGGAAAACAAAGTGTTGCTATTTTGGCGAAAGTTTAAAGCACCCTGTGGAATGATTTTACAAAGTTACATCTAACCAAGGTGCATCTTTGCTCGATAGTTTGTTTTTTCAGTCATCTCAATAGCTAGTTTCGTTGGAGATATTCACTTTCAAAGAAGACAGTATATATACGTTGCAGTTTATAGCAATTTTAGCATTCAAAGCTAAATTTATAAAAGCTTGGCTTTTGATCCTAACGAATACACCTACTTTATTACTGATATCCCTGTAGTGTGTATTCTTATATGGAACACTAATACAAATGAAGAAAAAAAAACAAACATAACAATTATCTATTGTAATTTAGGGTTCATTAACATTAAATTACTGAGTATAATTAACTATTTTCAAGAATTTTTATAATTTTTAACGGTAAGCTGGGCACCAAACTGGCCATCATAACCGTGAAAACGTTGGATCTCGCTACGACTCACGAAAATGTTATAAACAATTTACAATTAGCACCATTTTAACATGTTTTAATCGTCTACAAACAAGCCAAAGTACAGTTTGACGAAGACCAGTAAAAAGTAGGTTTTGTTTTAATTATAACTCCCTAGATATTTTTAAAATTCCACCATCTCTATTCATATTACCACAACACCAGAAAAAAATCTATAAAAACATTCACAAAGAAACTTTATTAGCTTCATCCTTGTGTGATCTGAAAAATCACTTATGACGTTTCGTTTCTCTGGAACCATCATCAATTTTATTTTTTTTTAAACCGATATGGGGTTTTCATTTAATTTTTGGAAGCTCATGACCTGTCAAACATGTGTTATTTTATTCAGAGTGTCATTTTCTATCGAATAATGTAAAAAATACCGAGGGTGCCATTTAAAAATCAAAAATAATTTCCGGTGAAACAGGAAGTGACCGAAAACGATTGAATACGAATGAAAAAATAAAAAAGTTATAGGGGTGAGCCACTTTTGTGAAACCCCCGGTATATTTTTTCAATAATTTTTATCTGTTCACTTTCAACTAATAATGTTTGTAATAATAATTGATGGTCATTGTGTGTGTTGAAAGGAAAAAAAATACATAGCTGCACTAAAGAAAAATTCACTTTCTCTGCTGGAGTACTATTCAAGCGAAAATGTCAAACATTTTTTTTTCATTAATAATAATTATTAACATGATACCATCAGCTGCACATCGCATGTTCATAGACAGTATAGCCTGGAATAGAAATATTATTAATAACATTTTCTTTTAATAAATATTAATACGGTAGATAGATGTTTTTTTATAGGCAATTTTAACATTTTAACATTCTTCATTAATGCTGTATCATGATATAATATGGGCTATTTCTGTTACTATTAGTGGAAAAAATGATAATATTGTTAGTAACAAATTTGTTTAATTTTCTATAGACGGAAGCAATCTGGCTTAAACGAGCATTGAACGCTTTCAAATGATTTTATACATAAACAGGCCAAGGATTTGACATAAATGTGCGGTATACAGTGTCAGGGGTTTATAATTCAATACTGTAGCTGTTTTAACATACAGGGCGAGTCTTGAATAAGTACAAATCTTTTTTTTGGGGTGGTATAGTGCAATTTCAGAAACACGTCCATAAGATTTTTTTTGGAAATTATTTCGATAAATTTTTAGCTACAAAAAACATATATTTGAAACCAATTCAACTTTTAGTTACGAGGCCGCGATTTTTAAATTCATTGTTGCCAACCATGGACATATTCGGCGCCGGGCTGACTAAATGGAATTTAAATTTCCAGCTGGGGATTCAGGTGGTAGCTCTGCTGTAAAAAATGTCAAGTTTCAACATTTATTTATTTATTTCCTGACATTGTCATTAGTTTTGACAGTTTAGTTTTGTATTACTAGTTTTAGGGTTAATAAAATAGTGTTGTGATACTTTAAACTTAATTTTTTTTACTAGCAGACCTTGCAGTTGAACACTGTTCTTTTTAGAATCTTTTATAGTGCGAAGTGTACAAGATAGCTTAATAGCCGTAAAAACCCATCGCAACTTTATTAGAATACAGTAATGTTCGGTTATAACGAACCTCATGGGACCGGCGAAAACGGTTCGTTATAAGCAAAGTTCCAAAAAAAGATAGATGCTGATAAATATAAAAGATGTGGTATTTTTATAAATACATAGATATGATATATAAAATATATTTTGTAATATGATAGATACATTAACAACTGTTCTTAAGAGGCTAATTAAAAAAAATCTTATATTTTAGTTTGTTTTATTTTTGTGAAATGAATATCATTAAATGTAATTCTACTTCGGCTAATTGATTAAGAACACTTTGCGGAATATTTCGTGACTGAAGGAAACGACAAACGTTATCAATATGTTGAAGTGCCTCTGATGTGGTCTGAACTGGTCTCAATTCTGTACTCTTCTGTTCTTCATCTTCCGCCTCTTCATCGTCATCAATATAAACTGAAGAAGACACAGAGGCGACAATGGCATCTGGCAGAAGAAGTATTCGACATTTACAAGATTATCATCGATATGGACAAGTTATCATCTTCTTATCCATTCGGCTACTGTCAAGACATCGTCTGAATCCAAATTATTTTCCACTTTTAGGAAACCACCGTGTTGAAAACAATTAATTTTTTTTATTTTGATATCCTCTGTCATGCCATATGAATGAAGATTATTTCATCCAAGAGGTTGAGAGAAAAAATTTCACCCCCACTATCAATAAAATGTACCATTTTCGAAAGAAGAAGTCGACAATAATGGCTCTTTTAAGGTCGTTATAAAAGGGTTCGTTATTTGCGAAAAAAATAACACGTAACGTTTAGTAATACCGAAGTTCGTACCTATAGATTTGGTTCGTTATTAACGAAAGTTTGTAATAAGCGGGTTCGTTATAGGCGGACATTACTGTATTTTGAATGGGAAAGCGGTAGTAATGGCCCTTTATGTCCCTTAAGCTCTGTTAGGAAGGCGAGCTTTGTTGATGTAAATATTAACTGTTTATTTATTTATAATTAATTTATTTTTGTTTCTTAAAATATTTTGATTAAAAGAAAATACGTAAAAGTGGGCAACGCTGTACCGGTGAAGCTTAATCACGTGACTAAAAGTTTATTTGATATAAACTATATTTTGATAGCCATGTTATCAAGTAGTAGATTAAATTTAGACAAAACAAAAAAAAGAAGAAATCAGTGCTCAGAAAGATTTTTTTTAAATTTTCATGGTAAAATAACTCTTTTAAATCAACCAATCAAATAGTTTCAATTATTAATTAATACGAGAGGACACTTTCTACAATATATCATTTCTTCTGACAATTATAACGGTATTTAGTCGCAAAGACAAAGAAATAAGAGTGTTCAATGTAGACTTTCTCTTTTGTTCTTATCTTAGTCTCGAGTTGATCTTGATGTTGGGCAAGCCAGTTATTGGTAGTTACCTCGCAGAAAATTACTGTACAATAGTATTTTCGATAAAAATACAGAATTCTACAATTTAATATTATACTTTCGATACGAAACTTAAACAATTGGCTTGTTAAATAAATAAAAAAAGTCATTTACA